AAATTCCTAAAATACTTTTATTACCTGTACTTTTATTTCATCAGCAAAACTGTTTTATGTTTTGAACTCTCTACTACACACACAGACTCCAGAAGGATTAAAATGCAACAACTTTTAAAAGTAACAAAAAATGTCTTTTGCTAAAGGTGGCAGAGGGAAAATCTTCACAACAGAAGGCAAAGGATTAATACCTAATATGTATGAAGAGCTTTTACCATTCACTAAGGAAGTAGTTAAGTACAGACTTGGACAGCAGCTACTGAAACTAAAATGCACAGTTAAGAATCCTTTATATGGAAATAGTTGCATACACCTGCATTTGCACAAAGATATAAGGACATTCCCTAAGGCTCTGGTTTTAGTTGCTCATTTGCTCACAATATGCCCATAAACAGTTAAATAAAGTACAACCATATAGTGGATTATCTCATGATTCTTAACAAAGATGAGGTATAATATATGCATTGATTGGAAACTATGCAGTTTCCAATGACCAGATTTTTCTTCTATTAAAAAAAATCAGTATTAAAAAACTATACACACACATTGCATATTTCTAACTCATAAGTAAAGCAAAATTGTTAACAGTGTGTACACCCTCCCAAGCAAGGGTTAAAAAGTGAATAAAGAACAATTTTAATTTTTTAATCTAAATAAATTGGCTTGCTTCAACCTTTCATGATAAGCATGTACAGTTTTTGGAATTTACCTTTTAATAAGGAGAAAACACTAATGTAGTCTGGTATGATGGTTATCTCCAAGGGCTGATACTAAAGTGATTTTGGTTCTGTTAATTTTCACAAATTTCCAATAGTTGGAGTAATTACATACTTTTTAAAACTAAAAAACTGATTTCCAAAAACCTATATTCTATTTCAGGGTGATACTACTTCAAATTCTCCCCCTCTTCCAAAATTTTATTTTATTTTATTTTAAGATTTATTTATTTGTGCATACAGAACTGGGATACAGGCCAGAGACTCAGGGGTGGTGAAAGACTTCACCAGAGACAGAGTGGGGGGCAGAACAGGCAGACTGACTAAGTGCACTGCTGAGGGGAGCAGCAGGTGGGTCAGGAGAGGTCTGCTGCGCCATGTGGTCATCTGGGGCAGGCAGGGATTGAACTCATGCGGAAGTGGCTTTCGCTTCTTAGTGCTGTGCTTTAACCCGCTGTGCCACCAGGGAAGGCCCCTTCCAAAATTTTAATTTAAATTACAGTCTCAGGAACTTGGTCCTGTGATTACAACTTCTTTCAGAAACTAACCTTAAATCTAAATTTGGAATTATCACACTTGCTGTAGAAACAATTAAATTAAAACCTATGTAGAATGGAGTATCAACTAATGTTAACTAAGCACTCAGGTAATGCATGTTAAATAGTCTACATCTACCATATCATTTGATCTAAACAACCTTCTGAAATTTTGCATTATGTTATTAATTCCCAATTTACAGGTGAAAAAAAAAATCAAATCTAAAAAATAGTAACTATCTTGCCCAGTATAAAATGGAATACTAAGATTCAAACCCAAGTCCTCAGCTCCTAACCACTCCAGATACATGGAGTAAGTACTAATGTACCTCTGAGGTAAAAGGCTAGAAGTCTGAAATCCTGAAGGAATATTTGGATTTCAAAAAAACTTTTTTATTTAAGTAACACTGCATTATAACATTATGTAAAAGTTTCAGGTGTGCGTCATTATACAACAAATCAGCATCTGTGTGTACTACGTTAAATTCACCACTTCGATGGAAGTCTCTTATTCACGTTAGTGATCTTGAAGTGAAGTAGTGAAACTCAACTCTGATCAGAAGGTAACAATCAGTATTATATAAAAGCAATGAGGGCTATTTATTCCCTTCCATTTCTGCTTCTTTCTAGGCAGAAGGAGAATACAGGAAACAACTTAGAATTGCAATGTTACTCCTCCTTCTGATTAGTTTGAAATTAATTCTCTAACTAGAAGAGCTTCAGCACCTGAAGGATCAAGACCTCTAACAGGGGCCCCTCCCTGGTGGTGGAAGGAGTTAAGACACATCACTACAAGCTAGCAGCAGCATCTCCAGCCCCAGAGGTGACCCACATGGCACAGCAGACTTCTGTCTCGCCCACTGCTCCCCTCAGCAGTGCACTTGATTGATCTGCTTGTTCTGCTCCCCACTCTGTGGTGAATCCTCTTGCCACCCCTGAACCTCTGGCCTGTACCCCGTAAATAAATAAATCTTAAAAGAAAAAAAAAGAACGCCAACATGGCTTAGTTTTAGGTTTTAATCAAAAGTAGAAAATTAAGAACAAAGAAAGAAATGTGCTATTAGAATATTATCCTGATCAGTATTAACAAAGATAAGCAGAATTTAACAGTACCTACTTGTTTCATCCTTAGTTATCTAGACAAGTTGCTTTGTAAAAAGCATGACTGGGACCTTCCCTGGTGGGACAGCGAGTTAAAGCACAGCACTAAGAAGCTAAAGCCACTTCAGCATAAATTCAAGTCCCCCTCCCCCTAGGTCACCCACATGGCCCCGCAGACCTCTCTTGACCTGCCCTCTGCTCTCCTCAAGTGTACTTCACTTGGCCTGTTCTGCTCCCCACTCTGTCTCTGGTGAGTCCTCTCACTGCCCCTGCATCTCTGGCCTGTACCCCAGTTGTGTATGCACAAATAAGTGAATCTTTAAAAAAAAAAAAAAGTATGACTGAAAGTTTAAACCTAGCTACCTGAACAAGTTCTAAGTTTTCTCTTTAAAAAAGAATAACTGAAAAGAAATATAAACCACTGGGTTTTAGGTTTTAATCAAAACCCTGCTGGCCCAAAAGGTTAAAGCACAGCAGTACAAAGCTCTCTGCAGGCACTGCAGCATGAGTTTGATTGTGTGTGTGTGTGTGTGTGTGACCCACATGTTGTAGCAGACCTCTCTTGACACCTCCCCCTCACCCCAACTCCTCTCAGCAGTGTGCATTGTCAATCTACCTGTTCTGCTCCTCACTCTGTCGGGTGAATCCTCTCATCCTCCCCGGCACTTGTGGTCTGTACCCCAGTTCTATATGCATAAATACATAAATCTTTAAAAAATAAAGAAATATAAACTACTGTTAACCAAGCCTACAAGGACTCTGCCTATCATAAAGATCATAGAAACCTCTATTCAATTGTTTAGTAGATATATTCTAACTATAACCTAATGCTGTTTTATGAATTTGGATTTGTAAGGTTATTATTAACGACAAAAAAATTGCAGAAGAGTAACTCTTTCTCTCAATAAAAGTAAATCAGGAATCAAGGCCCCAAAGGAGTGGAATATCTAGGAACTCTTCCTTAGTAAAACTATTTGCTTATAAGAACAAAACTGGCAGAGAAACTGACATCAAAAGACCAGGTTTTTCCACACAGTTTTGCACCACAGAACTAAGAGGACAGTAAGACCTCCCATAAGTTAAAGAAAACTTTACCATCACATGATGACAGTAATTTTTAAGCTTGGTTCTAAAGCTACTTAGGTGACAAAGAACCATTTAATGAAAAGACAAAATTCAATGAATTTAGTTGTTTGTCTTCACCAAAATCTGAAAGTGGGTTTAGGACCTACATATATAATAGTCCAAAACATTTTGAAGTTCACTTTTCATAAGGTGAATGTAAGTCAATGTTCTTGACTAATTAACAGCTAGAAAGATTTAAAAGTCAAGGATGAAAGAGTTGCCTTAAATCAATAACTTTAATAGGAAAACATGAACAAAGCTTTTCATTCATATTTTTTTCACATACATGTAAAGTATATAGAAATGAGAATGAATGTGCTTTGCAAATGCCACAGGGCTTCAGGCAAAGTTGACAAGTTCTAACTTGCTTTAAAAATTACTAGTCACTGCCTTCAACCCAATCTAACTTTATTTAATGTTATTCTTTTGGATAACCTTACAAAAACAAAACCCCCAGAGCAAATTCTTGTACATTTCAATATCCTGCCTACTTATGAGCGGAAGAGTCAAACAGAGCAGGGGAAAAACGTGACGTGCACAACCTTGATCCAAAACACAACTTGTCTCAGTCTAATTTTAGGCCTGACCACTTTTTGGGTCCTTTTACAGAGATTAAAAAAGAAAACAGATACGATACATCACTTGCAAGGCAGAACTGAGGTTAAGTACATCGATTAGAACTGGCATTATTTATATAGGGTGAAACAAATCACAAGTTCCCTCGAGAGCAATCCCATTTAAATGACAACTAAACTAAACCCCGTTACCAACTGACCATCGCCATTACTTTTCACAGCTCAGTTCTTGGTCGACTTTAAATTAGTATAAGGCTGAGTCGACTGAAGAATCTGTGGCGACGTCGTTGGGTGTGTTATTTTAAATAAAGAAAGCCAAACGTGAAAAGGTGCTCGTCACCTAAAGGCGCAAATATTCTCCTTCTGGCTGAAGACCAAAGCAGAATCACGAGAAGATCCCAAAGTTCTGTCCCTAAGCAGAGGCCCTCCAACACTGAGAAAACAGGTACGTTTCCACCAGGGTAGACGAGGGACGAGATTACAGGCTGTATGTAGTTCAGGAGGCATAAAGGGGCTCAAGACTATGCCTGAGCCAGGAAGCTGGGGTGAACCCAGAGATGGGGCAAGGAGGGGCGAGGAGTCAGTAAGAAGGAAAAACCCAGGCATAAAACCCGAGGCTTTTGGGTTTACTGTGAAGTAGCAGAAAAGGAAGAGGCTGAAACGAAAGAAAAGGGAGACAGGCGAGGAGAGGGCAGAGCCCGCGGAGCGACAAGGTTCAGGGCAGGGCTGGGTCCAGGAAGAGTTAGCCCGCACCAGCCCCGAAAGTTTCCCATTTCGGGCTAAAGATCAAGAAAACAGCCCTAGGGAGCAGACAATGAGCCACCGCCCCAGGAGCCGCAGCTCAGCGCGCAGGTGGCGGCTGCCCCGGGCCGCTCGTGCCGGCAGGCCGCGGAGAAGGAAGAGGAAGGAGGGCGACCGCCGGCGTCCCAGGCCTGTCGCACACTTACCTCAGGCGAGGAAAGGTCCCCGCCCCAGCGAGGCGCCTCGGTCCAAGCTCCCGGCGGGCTCCGGAGCCGCCCCGGGCCAGCGCGCGGCGCGGGGCGGGGAGGGGAGGGAATGGAAAAGGGCAGCGGGACGGGAAGAAGAGCCGCGCTGGAGCGCAGCGGCAGCTATGACCAGGCCAGGCGGCAGCCGAGCCCCAGGGCACCGGGAGGGGCGGGCAGGGAGCCTTCGGCAATGGCGACCGCCCGGACCGGAGGGGAAGCGGAACAACCGCCGCCGCCGCGCGTGGCCACAACCCTGGGGGAGGGCGATGGCGGGGAGGGGTGGGGCTAACACCGCCCCTCTCAGGCCCACGCTTCACGGGGCGGAGACGGGCCCGCCTCTCAGTGGGCGCGCTCGCGCGGGGGCTGCTGGGAGCTGTAGTTCACAGCGGACAAATACGGCTGGACAACCACCGGTCGCTCATTAAATCCTGCTTTGTCTCCAGGCAGGAGTATGCCAACAAAGATGATGACAGACGACTGCTGATGACAGATGAAGCTGCTCCGGGATGTTCGCTTCTGGGAATTCATCCATTATCCATTTTGCTTTTCACCTAAAAATCTTAACTATATTTTGCAGCCAATTAAGTCCCACCTTACAAATTAAGGCCTCCACGTTTTATTTATGGAGTTCATCAATGTATTGACTAATTCTATAAATATATGAGGTGCTACTAGGCATCAGTTAGGCAAGGGTGAACATGAGTCATCTGCCTTTGTGAAGCTTACAAATATGAAAATAAACATTAAAAATACCTGGTATGAAGAAAAAACTGGGCAGTTACTTTAGATTGAACAGCCAGAGAGTGCATTTTTAAGGTGACATTTATTTTTAAATTAAATTATTAGCGGTAACACTGGCTTACAACACTGTATGACTCAGAGGAATGGTTCACACCTCTCCAGAAGTGCATTATAGCCTACCCATCCCTGAGTACCCATATCCCTTCGTCTTACACCACTGGGTTCCAACCAACGAAGGTGATACTAACCTGCGAATAGAAAAGATTCAGGGCAAGCACCCTAGGAAAAGCATTAGAGGCAGAAGGAAGCAAAAAGCTGTGTAGCTGGGATTTATTGTAAAAGGGTAGCATAATATGAGAAAATACCATCACAAACAAGATGCATGTCATGAAGGATATTGAATATCTTGGCAATGAGTTTAGATTTAACTCCAAGAAATTATTAGCTCTTCAAGCAAGAAAATGATATCTGGTTTATACTTTAAGATCACTTGTTTGCTATATGGAGAATGGAGTAAAGATATGCAAGAATAGAAGGAAAATGAATTAAGCAGGTAGTAATCATGACTGATACTAGGGAGCTGTCGGTGGAAATGGGAAAAGATAGTCATCAGTGGCACTTACCTATAGATGTAGAACAAAAAACTCAATAAATTTGAAGGGCAGAAGACAGGAACCAAGAAGCAACAGAATACACTATTAAATACCATGTAAAATAGTCCCATTAACATACACACAGAAATGTTGGATAAAATAGATCATCTTTTCAAAGGCATAAGTAAGCTGTTAAGATTGAAAGGGGACTAATTCTGATTGTCTCCCAAACTGCACACACAAAGAGGGGACAGGAAACCAGAGTGGTAAGCAGGGCAGTGAAGCCTGGGTTGGTTGAGGGCATTTCCTTATATCAGAAATCTCTGAATTGTAAGTATGTGATAAAATTTTATTTGTACACGGCCCTCCCTGGTGGCACAGCGGTTAAAGCACAGCACTAAGAAGCTTAAGCCACTTCCACATGAGTTCGATCCCCGCCTGCCCCGGGGGAGATCCATGAGATCCACATGGCGAGGCAGACCTCTCCTGACCCACCTGCTGCTCCCCTCAGCAGTGTACTTCGTTGATCTGCCTGTTCTACTCCCCGTTTTGTCTCAGGTGAATCCTCTCACCCTCCGCATCTCTGGCCTGTACCCCAGTTCTAAAGAATAAAGAAATTAATTAAAAAAAAAAAAAAAAGAATTTACTGCTGCGTAGAAGACAAGTGACCAGACTAGGTGGGGACTGAAGGAGTTGCGACTATGACCTGTGTAAGACCAGAAAATTCCAAGGGCTATGTATCCTATAGGAACAAATTTGGGGGGGTAAGGAGAGGGATCCTGCCAACAGCCCAGGAAGATAAGCAGAACATTTGTACATTTTAGCCTGGAATTTGTGTGAACAGGAAGAAAAAAATCCCTTTAGAATTTACAACCACAAACTTTCCCTCATGAGTTTGAAGTTCAGATACCTACTAAAAGAACCTCTTAAAAATATACTTCTGGAGGAAAATGATCACAGAAATAAGGTCTGAGATGCAAGAAGTCAGCTAAGCCTACCAACCAATAGTAATCTTAAACTGCACTGTTTAGGACCTCAAATCAAGAAAATGATCCCAGGGTTGGAGACTTGGAAGAAACAACCCTCATTACACTGGTGTACCCCTAACACAAGTCTGAAAGGATTTCCACATATAGATTTCAAAAACAGCATGAGCACTCAAATATAACTGCAATACACCTGATGAAGTAAGCCACAATGAGTGAATCAACAAAACTATCAGAACAATGAAGCCCATGAACTTTAAATACTGGAATGATTGGTTACAAAATTTACATGTTTATGAATTTAATAAGTTCGTTGAAACAATGAAATAAGGGGAGGGGCGGGAAAAAATAAAAATGAGCAAAAATCAAGATTTTCTTTTTAAAGGAAGCAGCTTTGAAACCAAGTAGAATTTGTTGATAAAATAAAAAATTATAATTGAAAAAAAGCCAATGTTTAGGTTAAATACCAGATTACAGATAGATGAAGGGAGAATTAGTAAACCGGTAGATAAAAAAAAATTACTCAGAGCAGTTTAGAAACAAGACATTTGAAGGCCAGAATAAACATGGGGATAGACTATGAAGGTCTATCACATACATACGAGAATTAAATTTAAGAATCAAAGCAGAAAGAAGAGAGAAAACCAAAAAGACAGTGTGTGAGATACATGGTTAAGAATTTTCCAAAACTGATTAAAGGCATGACCTTTCAGATAAAGGAAGCCAAATGAATCCTAGCCAAGATTAAGTAAAAGATATCAAAGTGAAATTTCTGCATATCAAAGAGCAACCACACATACCCTACAAAAGACACAACTATTAAATTTAGCATGGATTCTTCAAATGCCACAGTAGGAGCCAGTTGACAACGGAAAAATATTTTCAAAGTGCCAAGAGAAAATACCCAAACTTAGCATGGTACACCTAGTTAATGATCAGTCACATATCTGAGGGTAAAATAAAGATATCATCAAACAGAAACAGAGATGTTAACAACAATAAATACCTATTAAAAATAACTACCTCTTGGGCCCTCCCTGGTGGCGCAGCAGGCTAAAGCACTGCACTAAGAAACTAAAGCCACTTCTGCATGAGTTCGATCCCCGCCTGCCCCAGAGGCGACCACATGGCGAGGCAGACTCTCCTGGCCTGCCCACTGCTCCCCTCAGCAGTGTATTTCGTCGATCTGCCTGTTCTGCTCCCCGCTCTGTCTCTGGTGAATCCTCTCACCCCAGTTCTGTACAAATAAATAAATAAAATCTTTAAAAAAAATAAAATAAAATAACTACCTCTTAAAAATACACTTGAGGAGGAAAACGACCCCAGAAGTAAGGTCTGAGGTGCAAGATTTCAAGTCAGATAGCCAAACCTACCATTCTAGGATACTTACTCCATATTATTTCATTACCTCACAGTCTACCAAACCTATGTTCCACCACCTGCCAGTAGTATATTTTGTAAGTTTGGGAGATAATAAAGATGGGTTGCATTGTTGCCACTCACCCTTATCACATTAATCAGTATTAATGATCAAAACCTAGATGATCAGCTTCAAACATGTAAAATATCCTACTAGAATATTCCTTAAACATCATATTTTCAAACTACTAGAATTGCAACCTATCTTTCCAGCTACCAAGTTATGTATGTTATCATGAAATCTAACGAAATAATCCAAGTTTCTATTATAGTAGTTGAGACACACACACATACACACCTGTTATATTATACAGCTTCTAGATAAGCTACATAAAAGGAGTAAATGGTTGAATCACAGTCCCAAACAATCTCAAATATTAACTTGAAAATTTGCTTAAAGATGAAAATTGGCTCTGATGTGAAAGAGGATGGGAAAATTGGCTCTGATGTGTAACACACGTGCACAAGCATACACACACCCCCACATACATTTGAGGTCAAATAGCATCATGTACCCCAACCCACCTTTTTAACTGTTTTCTGTTGATACTTTTTTTTTTTAAGACTTATTTATTTATGCATTTAGAACTGGCGTATAGGCCAGAGGTGCAGAGGAGGTGAGAGGATTCACCAGAGACAGAGTGGGGAGCAGAACAGGCAGATTGACAAAGTACACTGCTGAGAGAGCAGCGGGCGAGGTCTGCCACACCATGTGGGTCACCTCTGGGGCTGGAGCTTGAACTCACACTGAAGAGGCTGCGGCCAGCTTGCAGTGCTGCATCCTAAGCCATTGTGCCACCAGAGAGGACCCAAAATTTTAATCATTTTAAAGATTTCTAGTAATTTTGCTTTATAACACTGGGCTGCATTTTTCAATATTCAATTCTCAAAAATACCTCTCAAAAAAAAAAATGTTATGACTTGGGCTTCCCTCGTGGTGCAAGGGGTTAAGACTCAGTACTATCAAGTTATCAACAGGCACAGCTGCCTAAGTTCGCTCCCCCAGGCCAGGGAGCTGAGCCACCCAAATAGTGCAGTAGACTTCACCTGCCTCGCCCCCTGTTCTCTCAACAGTTTATTTAGTAGCTCCGTCTGTTCTGCTCCCCACTGTGTCTGTGGGGACACTGCCCCCCTATTTCTGGCCTGCACCCCAGTTCTTGTATGCATAAATAAATAAATCTAAAAAAACCACAAATGTTATGATTATTGAAGGTAAACATGTCATATTATAAACTATATATGCCCAGAGATACATTTTAGGAAATTTAGGAGTTGCAGCATATATAAATGAGTATCACATCACATTATTCTATAGAAAATTAACAATGCCACCATACCCTAGCCTATTGGTTTCTGTGTAGAACATGTTTGTTCTCAATGAACAGAAAGGCATGCTAGTCCTTTTATTTTTTTAATTAGCTTGTAACATTTTACTTTCTAATTTTTTTTTTTTTTTGGAAGTGTAACATTAAACAAGACCTTTTGCTTAAAAAAATTATCTGGAAATCAGGCCCTCCCTGGTGGTGCAATGGGTTAGGACACAGCACTGCAAGCTAGCTACAGCCACTTCAGCGCTGAGTTTGATCCCTGGTGCTGAAGGTAATCCATATGGCACAGCAGATCTCTCCTGTCTCCCCCACTGCTCCCCTCAGCAGTGTACTTCATCAATCTGCCTGTTCTGTTCCCTACTCTGCCGCTGGTAAATCCTCTCACCACACCTGCACCTCTGGCTTGTACCCCAGTTCTGTATGCATAAGTAAATCTTTAAAAAAAGTTATCTGGAAGTATAAAAAGATTTTCTGGTAAATACTACTGAACAAAATTTACCCTTTAAAATGACAATTTGAATTATCTTCTGACAAATTCAGTAATAAATCAGAACTAAATCTTAGTACGTAGTCAAGCCCTTTTGTCAATACATATAGTCAAAAGAAGTTACTGTAAAAGATAAAAGATAGAAATTCTTATTAAAGGGATAATCAATTTTGGTATAAATAATTTCCTGGCTTTCACACTTTTTTTGAACTCTGGAGTTTCAAACTTAGGAGTGCTGTCACTCTTAAGGCCTGCCTGTGATCTCCAGCCAGAGAGCTGACCCACATATGGCACAAGAGACTTCTCCTGTCTCATCCACTGCTCCCCTCAATAGTGTATTTCAGTAGATCAGCCTATTCTGTCCCCCATTCTGTCTCTGGTGAATCTTCCACACCCCACACCTCTAGCCTTTACACACAAAAAAGAAACGGTGGATTATTTAAAATTCTCATGAATTTAATGTTTAAATAAACCTCTTATTAATCTAAATTATTTTATACTTATTTATAATGATTTTTCAATTTTTATCTTAAACAGGAATGCTTCTATTCACATAACAATTTGTCTCTACCATATGAAGAATTTATTTTTCAAACCCAAATGAAAAAAGTCACTTTCACAAAGTAAATTATTAAGTTAGCAGAAATTATATTCCCTCTACTGGCTCTTGATGCTTGAGGATTTTCAAAGGTCTATATAAGAGAGAACTTAATTTTGGAATTAGTTGAGAATGATCCAAAATTTCCTCTGATAAATATAATTTTAGACATAAAAGAATTTACATTTATAAATGACAAACATAATTCCATAATTCTAGAAAAACACTTGTAGTCACAAATGACTACATCTTACATAGATGTATGGAATGCATTTAACAGTATAAAACTTATAGGGAAAAATGACCATATTTGAAAACAGCTACAAGGATCAAAGTAGAACACAGGATGGTAACAAGTAGAGTTACAGAACATACTAAAGAGGTATGTATAGTCAGTCCCACTGGAACAGGTAGAGTCACATTCTTATAAACCTATGGAGAAAGAAGAATAGAGACATTTAAAATGAATATCCCAAAGTTAGCCCAGCATTCTTTTCATTTTTTTAATAATAATATGTTTATTTTTCCCATCTCAGTTGGAATCCCCGTGGCTTCCCATCACCAAGTCATCCATGTGCCTTCACTACAGCCCATGCACTTCCCTCCCCCCACCATTTTTGATCCCATCCCCCCTTCCATCCTTGTAAAATGTCTCTGGTATATAGCTGTTCATTATTATTATTATTATTTTCTCCCCTGGTACTTTATACTCCTTTGTTTATCACTTTTAACTTAATTCTTTTCCCTTAAATGTGTTTCAGCCAATGTGATACCACATATAGTATTTTTGACTGAATGATTCTTTTGGATTCAACATTTTATAATAGACTATTCAATTTCCACAATTCTTAAATTCTAATTGATTCTGATTCTTTTCTTCTTTTCAGAGTATGTTTTTTAAAAAAGAAAAAGGTGGCTATATCCCAATGTCACCTCTGTAATCAAGTATAAATATTTACCTCTTCTTACTACTTTTAAAAAATATAAATTGTAAAATAATTACAGATTGTTCCATTTTACCAAGAAAGCAAACCTTAGAAAGAAAGAATTGGGAACAAACAGAAAGATACAAAAAGCATTAACTAAGAGGCAACTCATAAAAGAAGAGGGTAGAAAAAAACTGAAAGATGTACTGTACAAAGACCACTCTAAAGAAAGTAGATTTTGCTAACTAAAGAAGAAAGCTGTAGCATAGAAAAAGTCAGTACGAAATAAGTATTGATATTCTTCCAAATTCAATAACTGAAAACAAATTGGGAAGTCAAAACAATAAAAATGGCCCAAAAGAACCTGTATTTAGATTATACAGTACCAACATAACTATCTAAAAATCACAATTTAAAATAATGACTATGTTGAGTTTTATTTTTATTTTGTCATTTGTTCTGTGTAATAAAGTTAATTAATTTACATTGTCAAAAAATAAAAAATTTTAAATAAATTTTAATTCATATACCATTGTTTTTCTTTGCCATTCCATACTTCATAAGGTACATCAGCTACACTTAAGATTTGGGATTAACCCCAGATCTCTAGTTCCAAAAGTGATTCTCTGACACCATATAAATAAGGAACTACTGCTGCTATTAATAGTAAAAATACCATCAAAACCAAACTCAGCTTTCTATAGAAGAAAATAAAATGCTAACCCTTATGTAACAAAAATATCATAATTTTAAAGTAAGCTGCATGATCTAAAAGCCAGATAAGATATGAACATACTGATTTATATTTCATATTGTTCCACTGGCAGATATCCTCACTCTTCAAAGCACAAGGAGCTGCCACCTCTGACTGAGACCAACATTTCAAAATGGGAAAATCTGAGAAAAAATAGTAGAACATCATATCAGAAAACCTGTAGGTAGAGTAGAGGCCTTGGGTCACTCATGTTGGGATTTGAATATTCAAACATTTTAACATACAATATATATGATTTGGATCCATCTATCACATGCTGTTTTACTTTAGCAGCCTTCTTAGTGAAGGCCTAAAAAGTTCTAATAAAGATGGCTGAAGTTGAGCGTGACTTTGTAGCAAATCCCATTACACTTAGGGCCACTCTTTTAAAATTAAAAAAAAAATTTTTTTAAAGATTTATTTATTTGGGCATACAGAACTGGGGTACAGGCCAGAGGTGCAGGGCAGTGAGAGGTTTCACCAGAGTCAGAGTGGTGAGCAGAACTGGCAGACTGTTGAAATACACTGCTGAGGGGAGCAGCAGGCGGGTCAGGAGAGGTCAGCCTTGCCATGTGGGATCACCTCCCGGGCAGGTGGGGATTGAACTCATGTGGAAGTGGCTTTAGCTTCTTAGTGCTATTTTTAACCTGCTGTGCCACCAGGGAGGGCCCCTAAAATTTAAATCTTTTTGAAGTATGACATACTCTCCAAAAGTAAACAGATCCTAATTATACAACTTGTTAAATTTCCACAGGATAAACACACCCATATAAACAGCACTTGAAACAAAAAAATCGAACAATTTTCTGTTGGAAGAGGGTCACTTTTTCAGAAATTAACAGAAACAGAAATTAGGTTAGATGAACAAAACATAGCTTAACACTTTATTTTCTCAACATGAAATGTATGATAGCAACAAGTATATATGACTTAAGCCTCCCTAAGTGCTAGTTTTTCTTAACAGTGGTGTACTGACTTTTGTAAACATTCTAATCAGTCCAAATTTGGGAACAAATATAACCAAAATCAGAAAGGGGTTAAACTGAAAAAGGGCTTGCTACAAAAATGGAGAAATCATATTTATTTTATATTTATTTTCATTTACTCCACTTAACACCTAAGCACAGAATTAGCAATTACACTCAACACCAAAAACTCATTGAGGACATTTACAACAAACTAGGTGGTAAAAGTGTCACCTGAAACACCAAAATATACGTAAGTGCCCAAGACAGGTGTGCACCATTGAAGAGCTACAGGGGATGGTTGCAGAGCCTTTACTTACATGTAATATATATTAAGCTAGTATAAACACCAAAATATATGTAACTGCAAGTCCAACAATATCGGCATGAAGAAACAGCAGCAGAGGAACAATAAGGATCAATGGTAGTAAAAAGGCACAACAGAAATTATATAACTACTCATAAAAGAGCAAAATACTACCTATATTCTTGTCAAAAATAAAGACCCTTGAGTCTGATCACACTTTTGGAACAGCTACCAATTTTCAGCAATTACAAGTCAGATGAACTGCACAATGAACAATCATCAAAACCCCAACTATGAGAAAGAGGACAAATAAACCAAATTCCTTAACAGATAAAATTTGAAAAAATAAAAAAGATAAATAGATGAGATTCTTGTCAATTAGACTTCATGGAAATAAAGTTTTCTAATGGGCAAGACCATGCTAAGATACAGTGTCAAAGAATGCCTACTTAGGTGGTAGAAGTATAAAGAATATAGAAGCGATGAAAAGTCAAGATAGTATGTCTAGAGGAAAGGTGGTGGTTATGATTGGGACAGGATACACAGATCTACTAAGGCTCAGGTAACTGGCAAAGTGCTATTTCTCAATTTGGATGGTAGTATTTGCCTAATAACAACTCACTAAACTATGCATTTGTGAGTTTTTCTCAATGTGTACTTTGTTTTGCAATCTAAAGTTAAAAAGAAAAAAGATCTCTTTTATCATTCCTGTCCTTCACTTTAAACTCGTCATTATACCTTTATTTTTATTTTTAACCTACAGGAAAGACTTGCAATACTCACCCTGGTCGCAATACATCAATAAATCAGGATTGTTGACCACAATAAAAGTTTCTCCATCTTTACTATGTGGGCGATGGTAGCGGTAATGCACAGGCAAAAAAGCTTGGAAACAATCAATACACTGCATATCTTGTCTAGCATAAATGAGAACTTCAGATTCCTTGGATAAATAATTAGGAGCTTCTATATTAAAGTCTTCTGACACCATTATCGCCTGTCAGAAAACAAATATTAATCCAGAAAGATTCAAGACCAAAATGAAGCCAGAAGATTGCTATATAGATGAACAGAAATGCCAAATTTACCTCTTATAAATACCCATTTCCCTTTCATGTTCAATTTTAAGTTGAAAATATAAGATGTAAGATGTGATCTAAGTTTAATAAAAACATATTTACTAAAAGAAAATTGAGGAAAGTATATTCAACATGCCAAATTTCCAAACAATAAAAATTATTTCTATGTAATTTCCTTATTAATCTTTGATTAAGTGACAGAGCAGGCATTAAGAGAAATTTTGTAGCATTATTCAGAAAGAATAAAAACTTCAACAAAAACAGTTAATTTTGCATTGGTTAAAATGACTGGTATCACTCTAATTTCTACCCTTCAGGAATAAGATCATGAGCACTGTGGTCAGGAAGTCAGAACAAAGGTGTGTACCCTGTGTTGGGTTACAAAAAGTTAACAGGGGGAAAAAAAGGGTACAATTTTTTTCTGGAAGATTTATTTATGCATTCAGAACTGGGGTACAGGCCAGAGGTGCAGGGGTGGTGAGAGGATCCACTAGAAACAGAGCAGGGAGCAGAGCAGGCATACTGACTGAGATGCATAGCTACGGGAGCAGCTGGAGAGCTCCCCTGCCAGGGATCGAACTTTCACTGAAGCAGCTGCTGCTAGCCTCACAGTGCTGTGCTCTAACTGGATGAGCCACCAGGGAGGGCCCAGTGGTAAAAAAAATTTTTTAAATATGCTAAAAGTCATTTAAAAGTAAGTATTCACCAAAAGTAAAAAATGTACACCTGGCAGATTAAATTATAATGTGTTTATATATTATAGACATATAGATGTACATATACATCTACATATAAAGAGAGGCACACACAAAAGTATCTCTCTCTATATATATATACACATTTATTTAAATCTATGTATTAACATGCTCTCTATAACCAATGCAGATCCTCTGTGCAAACCCATGATGATAGTTTTTTCTCAGAGAAAAAAACAGCATTAACTTCTTCCCATTTCAGTAAGTACACTAATTCTATGTGACCGTGACACCAACTGTTATATTCTTCCACATTTTCTTTCTTCTAGCATTGATGGACTAACAACTCTCCCTAGCAAAAGTCAATGAATTATATAACTGCATGAGTCACAAGGACTCTCTGAGGTGACTATCCCAATGAAAATATTTTTCAAGTATCTAGCCCTTATGTGAATACTTACAATGACTAGCAGAGAGCTTATCACTTCAAGTCCTCTCACTTTATCTACTGGCTGATCTCCCAAAATCAAAATTTTATCTACTAGCTGATCTCCAAAAATCGTAATTTATTATTTCATATTTACCACAAGATAATAGCATGTTATCAAGAAATTAAACCTAAAATTTGCACTGTAAAAGACAAGGCCCCCCCCTTTTTTTTAAGGGTCCACATTTGTTCATGACAACACTCAACTACATGTCACAAATCACCTCAGCAAAGTAAAATCAGTTAAGCTATTATAAAATTGTACTATATATATAACATTTGCCAACTTTTTCTTATGAACTAGTGCTCTTTCAAAAAAAATTCACCAATTAAAAGACAGTAAAAGAGGCTCTTGAACAATAATCTAAAAATGTTAAACCTTTTAAAATTAAAGTGTATAATACTCTTGTAATATTGGGACTTTAATTCTAATCTTTTTTTATAATTAGTCTGGCTAAATGTTTATCAATTTTAGACATCTCAAAGAACCAGCTTTTGTTTTTACTGGGTTTCCCTATAATGTTTCTGTTTCCTAGTCCACTGATTTCTTCTATGATCTTTGTTATTTCCACTCTTCTTTTATCATGCATGTATACGTTTTCTTTCTATAGTTTGAGGCTTCATTGAAATCACTGATCTCAGAACTACTTTCTAAAATAGGCATATGAGTCCCCTTCAATACTGCTTTAGCAACATCCCACTAATTCTGATATGTTGTATTTTCTTTTTCGTTGAGTTTAAGGTATTTTCCCTTTAGATTTCTTCTTTGATCCATGGATTACTTACAGGTATGTTAATTAGTTCCCAAATGTTTGATGCTTTTCTAGAGGTCTTTTTGTTCTGATTCTAATTTAACTTCTTTGTAGTAAGAATATAACTGCATATAAGACTTGAATTCTTCTAAATTTATTGAGTTTTTTTATGGCTCAAATATGTTCTGTCTTGGTAAATGTTCCATGTACAACTGAAAAGAATGTGTATTCTACTGTTGTTGGAGAGAGTATTGTACAAATGCCAGTTAGGTCAACTGTTCAAATTTTCTATTATCCTTACCAATTTTCTGTTAATGTATTCTATCAATAAAGAGATGGGTTTTGAAATCTCCAAACTATAACCTTGGAGTCATCTATTTGCCTCAGATTTCTACCAGTACTTCTTTACCCATTCTGAATCTGCAATTAGGTAAATAAATGTTTGGGATTATTCTTTTTAATAAACTGATCCCATTATCAAATGACCTTAACGGTAGCAACAGTATGCTCTGAGATCCACTTTGCCTAATATTAATATAGTCATGTCTGCTTTCTTTGAGCATGCCATATCTTTTGTTTTAAAATTTAAAATTCATTTTTTCTAAGCAACATACAAATGAATTTTGCCTTGTCAGATTTCCCAAGATGAGCATTTCTGCTTTTTAATGAGGATATTTATACATCTGCATTTAAGATGATTTCTGATGTGTTTAAGTTGAAGTTTATCATTTTAATTTGTTCTCTGCATCTTACAAATATATTTGTTCTTTTTCTACCTTCTTTTGGATTAATTGAATTCCCATCATATAATTCCATTTTCTTGTAAGTTAACTTGCATTCATGCCAACAAAGACATAGCATATGACCTAAGCTGGGGTACCCCATGTAAAAAGAAATTCATTTTCTAAGAAAATGGTTGGTGATTTTATTAAGTGGATTTAATGTGATCCCAAATACATGTCATTACAAGTCAAGAAATGCATTTAAATTTGAAACCTATTAAAATTTTAAAAGCTTAATTCAGAATTCATGACTCAGTTAAAAAAAAAATAAGATAAAAAACACTGAGGTCTATCCTTGAGTGTGTATGTATCACAACTACCATATGAATAAGGCTGTATCTAAACTGACATCCAGACACAAAACTGAGAACACAGGAAGAAACTTGGTAGCTGGATAATTACATATGTACAAGTTTATCACTGTATATTTTTTGTACCTCCTGAGTTGTGAATCCTGAGAATGTAATTATCTAATAAAAAGCAACTAAAATATTTCAAATAGGTGAAATTACAAATAAACTGTCATCATAAATAATTACAGTTTATTTACCTTTTATCATCCATATATAATCTTGTGACCTAAGATAATGCTTCCCCAAATTTCTTAGTAAGGCTCATCTGAGTCATTAGGAACAAGCTTTTGGGTCCAACATAAACCTACTGAATTAATAGTTCCCAGAAAACAATGATCAAAGTTAGGAAAACTTTTAGCAAAGTCAAGTAAACCCTTTACTTTTTCCACGTCTGGAAAGAGCAACAACTTTGCAAATGGACAACACTTCATTTCTTGGTTCTAAAGTTTACTAATTTACTCAGCCTCTTTGTACATTATTTCTTTACATTCAAAATGTAGATAATATCACCAGGGTTGTTATAAAGGTTAATCTACTTTAAGAATGTGGGACAGTTCTTTAAAGTTTAATTTTATTTTGCTTCCTTTAAAATAAAAAAAGCAGCTCTCTGGCATATAGCTATCCAATAAATAATAATTTCCTTAACTCCCATATCCAAATTACACAGATGTTGGGATAAATGTCCCTCTAATTTAACAAAGTTGCCGCTAAAGCACTAATTATTAATCATTTACCTTCTCAAGACATGTATACATAATTTTTTTAATCACTAAACTATGACACATTCTTCCCAAAAGCATTTAACTATTTCACTTTATTTAGCTTATTACTGCAGCAAAGTATGGCAAGTATCATTCACTTCTCAAATACTCCCATCCTATCTTGCCTACTAAAAATAATAGACAAAAATTAAGGCAAAAGCCTTAATCTGCATTACTGCATCCCTAAAAGAATTTCTTTAAAAAATCCTCTAATAGAGTACCTCTGTTATGTTTCTCTCTTGCAAGGAAGCCAACTCATATGGATCCACAAAAAGTCCTGTTGGAATGTGCTGTTTAATTAAGAGTCGGCAAGTCTGCAAGTCCTCAATGCTTTCTCCAAATTTCACTTTTATTACAAGGTCTCTGTAAGACAAGTATATTTATTTATTTTAAAGGTTTATTTATTTATGCTCACAGAAATGGGGTACAGGCCAGAGGTGTGGTGGGTGAGAGGATTCACCAGAGACAGAGAGAGGTCTGCCACGCCATGTGGGTCAGCAACCTTGCTGGGATTGAACTCAGTGGCTCCATAGAGGTTCAAGATGCAGTTCTTTAACCAGTTGTACCACCAAAGGGAGCCCTATTTATTTTTTTATGATTTATTTATGCATACAATTACTGGGGTACCCGCCAGAGGTGAGGGGAGTGAGGATTCGCCAGAGACAGAGTAAAGAGCAGAACAGGCAGACTGAAACACAGCATAGAGAGGAGCAGCAGGAGGTCTGCTGCGACATGTGGGTCACCTCGTTGGCCAGGGATTAGAACTCCTTCTGCAGTGGCTGCTGGTAGCTTCACTTTAACCCCAGTGCTGCACTTTAACCCCTGCACCACCAGGGAGGCCCCCAAATAAATATATTTAAAGTACATCTCTTTGCTTTTCAGATATCATAACATTATATTCAAATTATGGTAAAACTGTATTTCAACTTAGTTTTTCAAAAGGTTATAATGTCAAATTAAATATATTAAGTCACGATCAACCATTAGATCTTTCATAAATTCACATACCATAAGCTATATATAGTACAGTATTAGTGGGGAAATAATGAAAGATCAATGGAAAGGAACAGAATCCAAAAATAGATACATATTTTTAGTAACGATGCCAAACTATACGGTGGGTAAAAATCTTTTCAACAAATGCTACTAAAACTACTAAATAGCAATATAAAAAAAGTGAACTCTGACCTCTACTTTACACCATATACAAAATTAACTTGAAATTAATTATAAGTTCATATATAACTGCCTGAGCTTTCTATCTAAAGGGACATTTTGCAGGGAGATTCAAACCATGAAAGTTTTGCTTGACTAAGAAAATATGAGGAAGTTAAAGGAGGCTGAAGAAGCTGAAAGTCAAAGTTCTAAGTTCCAAAAGAGAGAGCACTACACAGAAAGAACTCGAGAAACTCAAACTGGAGTCCCTTTTAGCTTCTACTGAATACTATGCTAAGAATGCTAAGAATATACCACAAAATTGGACAAAGAGTGATAGAGGCAAAGAAAGATGAAAAATCTTATAATTTCACACAGGTTATGATATATTTGGATTCTACCAACAATAGTGACCAAAATGCACTAGAAAGAAATCTCTAGGAATTTAAAAGGATTGAAATCACAAAAGTATGGTCTCTAACCACAATGGAATTAAATTAGCTATCAACAAAAGAGTCACTGCTTATACCAAAGTCACAGCCTCAAGCCTCTGAGTCTTATTTTTTAGGCTGTACTAGTGATCTGCCAGAAAACTCAGTCCTAGCCTCACATGCGTGGTCTCAGGGTTTTGTTTTTTTTTTCATTTCCAGAAAGAAAAAAAGTGACTTGATTCCTAGAAATTTGAGAGACTGAAATTAGGGACTTCCTTCAAACTTCAAATAGCTAATCAAGGGGCAACAAGACACAAGACAAATAATTGAAAATAACGTTATACCAGTTCAAACTAGCACTTCTGGGAGAGCCTACTATTGGCCAAATAAGTTTAGAGCTTTATTTTGTGAAGGCCAATTTCATGAATTCAAGATCATAGCAACTGAGGCTACTTTTGAATCCAAAAGTCAAGGTTGAAAGATGGGATAAAGCTGATTAAAAATGATACCACCGTACAGCACAAATGTGTTACAAAGGAGCATGAACAGCAACAGTTAAGATATCACAAATGAATCGTTTGCAAGAGCAAAAATTAGGCTAAAGAACTTCAGAAGCAAGAGAGTTCTAATGTTGTCATAGCATTACCAAGAAAAAAGGGTAACCTAGAATAAAAGACCCATAGACCCAGAAGTCCAGTCTTTTATAATATGCCAAGTTTTAATTTGTGGAGATATCAGCTAAAACATCAATGAATGAAGTGAAATACTCACAAACAGTTACTAAAACAAACAGTCAAAGAATGAACAGCAGAATCCAGGAGCAAAGTCTGTCAGAGGAAGAGAAGATTTTACTAAGCCCACACAGTCAAGCAAGAGTCAGTGTGGTAATAACTAACTCTCCAATTTGAACTAGCTCAAATATTCTGTTTCCTAAATGTTAGTAACCATGGAACTGGGGCATGTAACCAGCCTACTATGACTTCCAAAAAGAAGAGATCTTATGAGTGAAGTTTCTAACACAGATGTGGTTTGTGTTTAATTTTTTTTTAATATAATAGTTTATTTTTACATCATTTTGTGCCTTTTCCCATCTTAGTTGTAGTCCTCGTGGGCTTCCCATCACCAAATCACCTGTATGCCATTATCATAGTTGTGCTTAATTTTTAATAAATGTGTGTCTCTTTGACTAACATTTCAGCAATAAAGGGGAGAAATAAGAGATGTACCCAAATGTGCCTCCTTCATCTCTACCTACCAAATTATTTAAATTCTTTGAACCCTAGTTCCCTCACCTAAAAGACAACAGAAGTATCATCCACCTCACAATCTTAGTAAATTTAATATTGTACACATAGATTCTGGCAACATGTAAATATGTAAGCATGGTAAATTGTTTTCTTCTCTTCACCAGCTATCTTAACCATTTGTTCAAACTATGAAACACATAAGAAATCTGTCACTGATAAAGCAAATGATTTTTCAGTTTATTCATTTTTCAATTATTGATTTTTTTGTTCTAAATTATATGAAACTGTATTTGGAAGGAAGTATGAGCAACTTACCTGTGGAAACCATCTTTCAAAACATCTTGCCTCAATATAATTTCAGAACAAGTGGGCCTTATGCCTACAAAAATGCAAAAATTTTTTTCTTTTTATAAAATAAGCACTCAATGAAAGAACATTTAAATAATTAGAAAATAATTGAATGAATAGTCTTTATACTTGCTCTGGAAAAATCTAACAAACCTAAAAACACAACTTTAAAAACTTAAGCAATTTGGGCCCTCCCTGGTGGCGCAGCGGGTTAAAGCACAGCACTGAGAAGCTAAAGCCACTTCCGCATGAGTTCAAATCCCGCCTGCCCCAGAGGAGACCACATGGCGTGGCAGACCTCTCCTGACGCGCCCGCTGCTCCCCTCAGCAGTGTACTTCGTCGATCTGCCTGTTCTGCTCCCCACTCTGTCTCTGGTGAAGCCTCTCACCGCCCCTGAGCCTCTGGCCTGTACCCCAGTTCTGTATGTACAAATAAATAAATCTTTAAAAAAAAAAAAACTTAAGCAATTTGTACTACATATAAATCTACTTCAAACACAGCTGAGTGGTAAAGAACACTGACTCTGGAGTTGGATGGTATAGTGTCAGTTAATATATTCAACAGCTGTGTGACTCTAGACAAGATAGTTTACTTCTCTACTAGTTGCCATACAAACTTAATATATGAAGCACTTAAAACAGGGACTACCATATAGAAAGTTCTCTATTAGTCTGCTACGGACATACTTTATTTCTTCCAGGACACCAAAAAGAACAGAAAGGCTTATGAGTCAGGAGATCTCAGTTCTAATCCCATTTCATTTAAATTGTGCACCAGAAACACACTGGTACTTATATTCATATATTCTGCAAATCTGAGATGGCTTTTGAAGATGCTGGGTGGGGTTCAAAAAACTGGAGGATTTTAAAAGGTTAAAAGGATTCCTTTAGAAACTCTAAATAATCAGAAATCTCATTATACTGACTCCATGCAGAATTCAGAAATTAAAACTACTGTTCAATGTCAGCATCACGAAATTAAAATTTTGGTTACTAATAATCAACTATGTTAGGCATCTTGCTATATTGAACTTTATCCCATTTACAAAAGCTAGAAGTATACAGAAAGATCATTAAACTAAACAGAGAAAAGGTGACTTACAAACACTATTATAATTACTAGATGTTTACGATTTTAGGGCACAAATACCATTTTCAAAATGAATTCATTGCACTTAAAGTCACCTTCAATATTTTTTTTCTCGAATGTTACTTTATACGGTAATTGTACATTAAACTGATTCTGAAAACTTAACCCTTCCACAGCTGGAAGCATTCTAAGAGATCACCAAATCCAGTTGTTATTTTTTACTTCACTATCCTTTCTTCCAATACACTTGGAAATTTAATACTTAAACAGAAAATCAGAAGTTCACAGATTCTAGCCTCCTAATACTCTCATTTTACAGATAGGGAATTCACTTGATCTGTACTTTCCTTTCCCTACCAAAAGGTATTAATCAAGTGGACCACAGCATCAAGAAAGACAGCACTCTAGCCCCAACATGGGTTCAAAGAAGTAAATCTGTTCGCTTGTCCAGTCAGCGTCATAAAATACCAGCCCGATTCAATCTACTGTCCAAAATATTCCTAAAACAAACTCAGCCGTTCCCTTTCCACCGCACCCTCCGCCCCACCAGCCCGGGAGCTATTCTGAACTAGGATTCTCAAACCTCACAGAGCACCGAGTTCTTGCTGATCCCTTGGAGGTCAGCGACTTCGTGTGCATCCCAAAACATTCCAAGATGTTTCACGACCGTGCTATTTTAGCAACAGTGCCGCCAGTCCCGCCTAGGAACGCCAAAACTTGTCTCTCCAGGCACCCGGGTGCCGCCCCATAGCAATGAAGGGAGCGGAGGGGAGGAGGCGGGGCGGAGTGGGGAGAGAAGAGAGCTAGAAGGAAGCACGCGGCCTTTATTAGCCTCCTCCGGTTCACCCTACACTTCTGGGGTCGCACGCCGAGGCACAGAACTGCTCCCCGCCCGCTCGGTCCTCAAACCCCGCGCGTACTCCCGCAGCCTCCTCAGGGGTCCCTTTACCAGCGTCGGTGCGGGCGGAGGTAAAGGCCGAGGCGGGGGTGCAGGTTAGCCCACCCGTCGCCCAGAGAATCAGCCAGGCCCCAGCCTGGACGGTCACGGCGCGCGCTGCCAGGACGCCGGAGAGCAGGCGCCCGAAAGGAGCGCGCGGGGACTGAACGCGGACGCAGGAGCCAGCGCACGCCGATAGCACTCAAAGCAAGGCCCGGACGGAAGTCGCGGTGCGCGCGCCGGCCGCCTAGCAGCTCCCTAGATCCCGAAGCCCCGCCCCCGCAGGTTCGGAGGTCGCTCTAGGCGGCCGGTCCGCCCTCTAGTTCACGCCTCTCGATGCCCCGCCCCTTGCACGCTTGATAAGGGGCGGGGGGCGGAGCCGCGCAAGCGCCGTGACTGTGCCGGGGATGTTGCTGGGGGAACGTCTCCTTAGGGGTTCCCTCTAGCCAGGGTCTTACCCGCGCGATGTCCGGGGATCCGAACAGGCTATTAGTTCTTGGGCTCCGCCTCTACACTTGCAGGTATTTTCAGATCCCGATCTCCTGCCAGGGAAGCCACGGCACAGTCACGTCTGCGGGGCGGTAGCGGTCTCCTCTTCCTGCATCACCAGGCTCCGCCCGGCCTCCGAGTCGGAAGTAATGTTCCTGCGTGCCCTGCAGGTGGGTGGAAACAACCTCTTACACAGTTTTAGACGTTGGCTTGCAGAAGATGCACTTTCAGTACTTTTCTAAAGGTAAGAAAGTCAGCCTTGCTCAAGGGAGGGTGGGAACAAAGGAAGGATCGTCTATCTATAGGCAAAATACTTCACTTTTTGGTGTTGTGGAGGATGGTGGCAAGATTATGACATTCATTGATAACTAGGGAGAAAGTATCGATGGCCAGTGAGAAGAGTTAAATGTGCCGTCTGTCTCCATGACTTGAATTTGTAAGTAAGGCTAGAGAGTATTGGATGCTGACTACACAGCAGAATAGAGGGCCTCAGGACAGGTATCTCAAAGAAGGATGTGTCAGAAGATGCTCTCTAAAACTACAAATAGTAGTATCTACTTGCTAAGAAATTTGGAAAGAGTGTTTTTAGAAGAAACACTTAAAATAATTGAAACTGGTTACCTACAGAAAAGATAACAGGTTTTTGTTAGAAACCTCATAGTTATTTTACATTTTAAGTGGAATACAAATATTAATAAAAAACTGTATTTTGGGGTGGTTTCTTATTTTCAGATTGTATTGTCTATAATCTCCTTCCTTACCCCACATAACCCACTGCCCCTCACGTAGCTAGTAATAACTTAGCATGTGCCAACCTGTCCTTTCCCCCATGCTTACATAACACAGAAAACACACACATAATAAGCTATAAAAATGTTATTTTAAAGAGTCTGTCGGAGGTAAAAAAGTTATATTATTGAGTGCCAGTTGCATCCATCACACTATACCGAGAATGAAGACTGGAAGGAATCAAGGATGATTGCTTTATATATCTACCCCCTTAAATTATACCACTCAGTTTTCTTCAGTGAACATATATTAAATAACTGTGTCACTATAGGGACATATAGTGATTCTCTGAGAGAACTGAGTTTCTAAAGTTATCTCCCTATGCTACTTTACCTTCAGGTTCCTTGACATTTGCAAATGTTCCTGAGAATGTCATGGTCACATCTAAAGCAGTTTCTGTTACTGTGTTTAGGCCTTGTGTTTAAACAAAGGATGAAGGAATAGAAAATATTATCCTGCAGAATAGTGTTTCTTATAATGGAAAAACATACAACAAGACAAGTAATTTGAAATCAAGGTCATGTGGCATTATTGCCTTTTATATGCAGAGGCTGATCCTGATTCCAGTCTGCTTTTTTTTTTTTTTAAATCAGGTTTCTAGATTATATGCACTTAGAGGATGTACAGAAGTTGTATCTTAATAGTGGGTTGTCAGAAAAGTCATGACATATATTTTCTGTTTTTCAAGAAAAAAAATATGTCATGACTTTTTGGACAACCCAATATTAATACTTTGAACTATACTAGAGTGTGTATATGGAATGCCTGGTATTGCATTGGGATATTGTGATAAATAGTGAATGTGTTCCCTGCCCTCATGAAACTAATAGAAAGGTCAAAATTAAATAATTACCAAAAAACTCGAGTGTTATGATTGGGAAAGTAGAAGGGGACTGGTCTGGTCTGTCAAGACATAATGTTTAAGGTTAGAAGACTCTTGGCACCTTGACACAGAGAGTACATACTCTCTGTTTTAATAAATTAAAACCACTATATAAGATCTTGGATCAACTCAGGTTTCATATACAACCTTTGACTGAGTACAGTACACTAAGAGATCCAAACTGAACTGTATTACAGGCTTATGTTTGAATAAATCCGCACCCTTCGAGTAATCAGGGATCTAATAGGTTAAGAATAACCTAGGGCCAAATTGAACTTTCATGGTTACTCTGGAAACATTGGACTTGACAAGCCAACCTACATCTCTAGAACTGGACTGGAGCCAGATCTGCTAGGAAAGAAGAATAGGGAGGAGTGTGATTTACTCAGCACTTAATTCTTTTCCCCCTTTAGCAGGAAGTCATTATATGACTAACACATTTTCATCAGATTTCCTCTAATTTACCCTGAAGTATATGTGAGAATGATGTGCACTGCCAAAAAATGTGGAATTAGGTTCCAGCCTCCAGCTATTATCTTAATCTATGAGAATGAAACCAAGGAGAAAAGTCGCCAGCGCATCATGCCTGTCCGCAACTTTTCAAAGTATTCAGGTACCTAATGTTTATCTTGCCTTATATCTTAGATATTCTGTAAACTACTTTCTAAAAATATTTTAGTCTCATGTAACGGAATGGCATGGTCTTCAGAGTTAGGCAGATCTAAATTTGCATCATAGCTCTATAGACCATATGACTAGCTAAATTACTCAGTGAGCTTCAGTTTGCTAATCTGTTAAGAGGAAATTGCTAATTCCACCCTTTCAGAATGATAGTGTGGATTAAATGAGATAATATTATGCAGCAATATCAATTCCCATCTCTTCCTGCAAGTGTTTTTTACTTGTCTTGATAATTTTTTAGAAACAGTACTAATACCTAAAACCAGTACAAATATCAGTATAAATAACCTTTGTTTCTTTTTATTTTCTCTAGTTGAAAGTGTTAATGTCTCCTCAAAGTAATTTTGAGTAAAGGAAATAAAAAAAACACATCCCTCCGTTCCATCCCACACTAAAAGCTTGATATAAAGGAATAGCTTTGTAAAATAAACCATTCCCAAAATACCTCGTATCTATTTAGCTATAAAAGCAGATAATACTTTGAGTAGCTTGTGGTGTATCAGTGTTTTGTTAACAGTATGTGATATATAGTTTTGTTTCCCCATTCTAGATTGCAACATAGCTGCAGAACAATTAAAGAATAACCCTCGGCACAAGAGTTACCTGGAACAAGTATCTCTCCAGCAGCTAGAGAAGTTATTTAGCTTTTTACGAGGTTACTTACGGGGGCAGAGTTTGGCAGAAACAATGGAACAAATTCGTCGGGAAACAACCATCGATCCTGAGGAAGACATGAACAAACTAGATGACAAAGAACTTGCCAAAAGGAAGAGCATCATGGATGAAATTTTTGAGAAAAATCAGAAGAAGAAAGATGACCCTAATTTTGTTTATGACATAGAAGTTGAGTTCCCACAGGATGAACAACTTCAGTCCTGTGGCTGGGACACAGAATCAGCTGATGAGTTCTGATATAAACCTCAAAGAATTTGTTAGGTTAACAGAAAATTCTTTAAATAAAGAATGTAGATTGTTTCTTAAAAAAAAGCTGTGATAAAAACTAATATGTATGTTTTGGTCATAGTTGGATTGCCCATGTTACTTTTCCAAACCAGGGCTTTAGAACATCTACTATGTAGGTGCATGAGGAATAGAGGAAAACAGAAATATAGTGATCTGCCTTTAAAGAGTTATAATCTACCTGAAAGATAACCAAAAAAAATTTTGAAAAGTTAATTACAGTATTAGGCCATCAAACATTAGGACCAAGTGTTTGATGAAGACTAGAGTCAGCGTCTAGGCTGCTGTCGGGTAGAAAAGTCAAAGAAATTGTCCTTTAGAAAAGTGGGACTTTGCCTGTATTGGATAGAAATCATTTTAGGAAAAAGAAAGAGGGCGGGAGGTGTAAGGAGAATTAATGAAGAGATGGGAAAAGGTTTCTATTTAAAAAACAGTAAGCAAATTATAATTTGGCAAAATGGTAACCAGGGATTACCCTATTTGTATTATGTCTTTATATGTATTTACTCTGTTTTAAATGTGTTTAATTCTGAAGTAGAAGAATGCTCTTGCAGAGTGTTCTGGACACTCTGGAGCTGCAAATGAATATCATTTGATGGACAGCAGGGAAATTCTACCTCTCTGGTATAAGGAAATATATAATAAAGACATTCTGAAACCCTAACCCTATGTATAAGAAGTTTATTTATAAAATAGGAAATGTACCCATAATAAATGAACAATAAGTACTGCCAGTTTAGGCCTATTTATGAGTTTAGATCTACAAAGAGAAGGTTGTTGTTGAACAAAGTAGTGTGTTTATAGATGTTTTCTAAAAGAAAATAAATGCTGATTAAATGAAACTGCAAAAATAATTACTTTTTTCCTGTCTTTATTCTTTATCATTAAAAACTCTATTAAAGGGATTATTATTGTAGTGGTATTATCAGGGATTTAAGACACTCATGTCTCACTTGTATATTTGCCAAGGTAGTAAAAGAATTTTCAGAATTTGAGATCCTTTCATCTCTACATAAATGTTCTATTATGTAGATGATATATTTTAAAAGTTGACCTTAGTTGGTTTTCCCTTTCTACTATTACAAACTGCTATTGCAAATAAACTTGTACATCCTCTATTTTGTATGTGTGCAAGAATATAAATAATAGAGGAGAATTTCTGGGTATGTACATTCTAATTTTTTTTAATTAAAAAAAATTTTTTTTTTTTGGATAGAAGAGCTGGGCTGTAGTCCAGAGTTACAGGGGGTGAGAGGATTTGCCAGAGACAGAGTGGGGCACAGAACAGATGGATGTTAGTAAAACATACTTTTTTTTTTTAAGATATTGATGCACACTGTTAACGGGATCAGTGGGTGAGACCCCCCACACTTACCCCCTTTCCATTTTAGAAAAGATTTGACTTTAGTCCAGTTCTAGAGATGCATACCCAGTCTATGAAGCAGAGTTAGAACAAAGCTTGAAGGGAGTGACTAGGATAGAAATTCCAGAATATGAAAAAAGAAACAGGACAATACACTTAAAGCTAAAAGCTAAAACTATATAACTTTTCAAAGACAATAAAGGAGAAAATCTTTATGACCTTGGTGTCTTGGTCAGCTCAGATTACTATAACAAAAGACCATAAACTGACCAGCTTATAAACAAAATTTTTTCTGACAGTTCTGGACACTAGATGTGTGAGTCAGGCTGCCAAGGGTGTGCTGAGAAACATCTTTTAGATTGCAGAGCACTGACTTATAGTATTTTCACATGATGAGGAGGAGAGCACAGAAAGCAAATTCTATTGCAACCCTTTTTTTTTTTTTAAAGATTTATTTATTTGTGCATACAGAACTGGGGTACAGGCCAGAGGCTCAGGGGCGGTGAGAGGCTTCACCAGAGACAGAGTGGGGAGCAGAACAGGCAGATCTACGAAGTACACTGCTGAGGGGAGCAGCAGGCGGGTCAGGAGAGGTCTGGCTCGCCATGTGGTCTCCTCCGGGGCAGGCGGCAGGCTGGAATCGAACTCATGCGGAAGTGGCTTCAGATTCTCAGTACTGTGCTTTAACCCGCTGCGCCACCAGGGAGGGCCTATTGCAACCCTTTTAAGGGTACTAATCCCATTCATGAGGTCTCTACCTTATGATTTCATCTAATCCTAATTAGTTCCCAGAGGCCCACCTCCTGATTACATTAGAAGTAAGATTTTGATGTAAGAATTTTGAGAGGACATAAACTTTTGTAACACTCAGATTAGGCAAAGAGGTCTTAAAATGGACATATTTTAAGCATGATCTGTAAAAGAAAATATTTGATTAAAAAGTTTTGTACTCCAATGATAATACAGAAAACATCAAAAAACAATTCCTGACTCAAAGAAAATATCTTCAGACTGCATATCTGAAAAAGAGACTCTTTTTCAGCTGTAAGAACCCTTACAACTCAATAAAAAAAAGAATCCAGTCTTAAAATAAGCAAAAATTTGCATTAACATTTCACCAAGGAAGATCTGCAAATGATTAAAAAACACATGAAAAGTTGTTCAACATCATTAGCTATGAGAAATGCAAATTAAAACTATAATGAGATATACTTCCTACCCACTAGTATGTTATAAAACAACAACAACAACAAACAATAATAGCACGTGTTAGTGAGGATGTGGAGAAATGGGAACCCTCATACAATGTTGGTGGGAATGGAAAAATAGTATATAGTCACTTGAAACAAGTCTGGCAGTTTCTTAAAAAGTTTCACCCAGCAATTCTACCTCTATGGCTCTATGCAAAGAAATTAAATCATAGATCCACCCATTCATTACAGCATCATTCATACTAACCCAAAAATAGAAACACTAAATTATCCATCAGCTGGTAAGTAAAAAAACAAAATGTATACTGCTAGTATGATTGAGTACTATTCAGCAATAAGACTTATGCTAAATGAAAGAAGCCAGATAGAAAACATTACATATCATATAGCCCATTTACATGAAATAATCAGAAAGGGCAATTCTGTGGAGGTACAAATCAGATTAGTGGTTGCCTGGCACTGGGACTGAGGAATAGAAATTGATTTCCAATAAACACGAGATTGTGTTTCAGAGGTGAGGGCAATACTCCCACACTGAATTGTATGGTTGCACAATTCCATAAATTCACTAAAAATAATAGATTTATGCCCTTAAAAACAGGTCAACTTTATTACATTTTCATATATATATATATATATATATATATATATATATATATATATATATATAAAAAGGTGTATAGGTTATATTTCAAAGATGATGTTTAAAAACAGAAAAAGGAATAGAATTCATGTCTACAGATCATTTATTCTAAGGATGAATAGGAAGGATCAAAGATGTGTGTAAAACCATTTAAGCTCACAGAGAAGTGGAGATTGGGAAAGGTTTTAGAAGAGACAGGATAAATGCAGTCAGTCTACAAACACACACTTTTTGAATATTTGCTCTGAGAAGGTTCCCAGTAAAAGAGTGGGTTTAAAGAAAAGGAAAAACAGAGAGATCACTGATATAGACAAATTATGATGCCAGGGGTGGGCAAGGGTTATGATTTCAGTTTTCTCCTTAATGGACTAGACAAAAGCCAGCTGATAATAGTGAGACTGAGGAAGAGCTAGGGCAGAGAGTAAAGAGAGAGAGGGAAAATGAGAGGTCAGCAGAAGGACCTTTGTTCAGAGGCAAGGGTGAGGTTGGCTATGTTCAAACAGGTGGAGGAAGAAGACTGTGGGTGTGAAACAACGGAAATCCAATCTAGCAGGAGTTAGAAACTGAGAAGGAATTCCCCCATCCTCACCTCCCCTTAAACAAACAAACAAAAGAACTTCCTGTGGTTAAGTTTACAAAAAGAGTGTTAATGACTGAATTAACAACCCTCCTTCACACTAAACATTTTAGCTTTCTTGCCTCTAAGTCCTTCCCTAAGTGGTCTGCCATTTTACACTACACAGATGCGGTTGACCATCTACCCAACATCCTTTATCCTTTCTCAATAACTACACTTAACTGACTTCACTAACTACAAAGACTCAATATTTTTTGGAGATAACCCATCCCACAGAAGTCTCAGAGGATCCAGAGACCAATCCTGATTGATCTAGACAAACCTCAGCAGTTCTATTCCGTGTCTATGATTGATTTAGAGATAGGCATATTACCCAGTTCCAGTCAATGAGATATGAAGGGGGATCTATAAAGTCTTATGAAAAAGGGATCCTCTATTTGTTGGAGGAAAGAAAAGCTCCCTGGATGTGGCTGTATGTGAATGTCAGACCTTGAAAAAGCAGTTACTGTAAGGCCAGTTTGAGGATGTTGCTCGTAGTTAATGACAGCCGCCGGCATAATGCATCTGGAGTCTGTCCTACTTAAGTGTCATAAAGTTATACAATTTTCCACTTTAAAAGTCTATTGAAATGGATAGTTTTCTGTTTTTGCTACCAAAAAGAAAAAAAAATGCTGTTAACAAAGGAACAAACCTCCTTCACTGGCCTCTTTCATGGTCCGGGCTCTCTTTCTCAAGGGTATGCACAGGGGCCTCTGGGAAGAAATTGATGCAGTTGACAGAGCAAAATGAGGGACTGAGGAAGGTCAGGGTACTGGCAATAGCAGAATATCAGTGATGTCGTCTTTTGAGTTCGGGGTCCCTGGGTTCACTCTGGGAAAGGTTTCATCAGAGCTCCCCTTTCAGTGGCACATGGCGAGATTCTTCATGAGACAGAGACTCAGTTATATCTAAAGAGAAAGTTTATTAGAAAGAGATGGGAGAGGGGAAGACACTGGTTAGGTGCAAGTGGGCAGGAAGAGCTACCCCGAAAGGGACAGGTTTGCAAGGGAAAGAGACCTGCATGGTTGCAGGCAGGCAGGCAGGTGGCTGCTGCCATGCAGAGGGAGAGTAGATGGAAAGAAGCACCTGCATAGGCACAGGTGGGCAGAGAAGCGGCTGCCCCGAGCTGATGGAGAGACTGTCCAGATATAGACAGCTTCTCTTTGGGAGGGGCCCACTCCTTGTGAGCCTAGGTTTGTTGGCTTTGCATAGAATCTGAGAGGTTGGAGATTCCCTAGTGAGCTTCATCTCCATATCCATGTCCTTGTCTTTACCTGGGCGCCAGGCATCCTGGCTTTGGTGCCCTGATTTTATGGCTGTGTCAGCTGCTGCCTTGGCCCTTTTTACCCGTCCCTTTGTGTGACTCAGTCTTGTGATGCCTCTCCTGCATTCTTTCCTCCATCATCAGTGAACCTTGGAATTTAGGACTGGACAGAGTGCCTGCCTGGAGCTAGAAGGAAGCTGAACCAGATGGGAGGAGCTAAGCAGTATAAAATACCAGAAAAGGTGACATCAGCAGGAAACTCTGGCAAGCTGTGACAGGCCAGCTTGGGCAAACACAGACAAAGCAATTGGGTCAGAAAAGGGAACTGCTGAGTTAAGAGATCTCAAAAATTTAGCGATTCCTGGCAGTGATGAGATCCAGGAATCTGAACTTTCTAGGCCAAGATTGATAGGGAAATCCAGGAAATCAAGAAAGTTATAGAGTCTTATGAAATTAAGGTGTACAATGGAGCAAAAGTTCTGGGTACCCGGATGAAGGGAAAAGGGGAAAAGAAAATCAGTCAAACCTTAAAGTCATTTGGGTAGATAGAAAATGGTTTTGTGCAACTGATTTAATAATTTGAAAAAGAAAATGTAAACAGATAGAATTAATGAGTAGATAATAGAATGAGGAAAAGAACAAGTATGGAGAAGTAAAATATAAAAAGGTGTTGTTTTTTTTTTTATTTCATATACATGCTCCTCCAGAAACAAGCAATTTAGTTGAAAAGCTGGGGTCAGGAGCAAGGAGG